AAAATCCTCACAATGTCAGTATTTTAATTCAGTTAATTTATCTAAGTTAAACTCTCTGTTAGTGAGATTTCTAATGAAGCCAAGCTGTCTGTATGTGAGTGCGTGTGTGTGTACGCACGTGCAGATCCCGTAGAAGCCCTTTCATGCATTACATTAGCTATTTGCTAATTTATTCCTTTGTCATCTTTGAAGAGGCCTGTTCATTCTGAAGATCAAAACAAATAGAGAGTACTTGTATCAGTTTTGTGCTTTATTTTACTCTCCAGCTTTTATCATTTAACTTATAGGTTACGTTACTGTTATGCTGTTTAAACAAAAAAAAACCAAAATCTAACAACAAATGTCACCAATGACTGTTTTTATGAGGGCAAAAACAGTGGTTTGCTGCAGATCCTGAGCATGATTTTTAATGAACAATTAAAACTAAGTAAATGAGATATTAAGTGGTCAGAATTTTTGGATAGGTTGTGACTAGATTTCAGATGTACATTTCACTGAATTTTAGCAAACTACTCTTTGGAATACATCCAGATAATATATACTAATCTAAGAACTAGCTAATTTATTTCATTCCAGAAAATCATTGCTACATTGTAGATCTGCAGGACAGCTACAGTCTTTGCTGATATGCGTTTAACTTGTGTAGTAATGAGCGTAGCTAGTCAGCCCTTTAGCTATGATGAGAGTTGTGAATGTTCTTCAGTGATCATCAGCTCAGAGGATGAGCTTCAGGTGGACCTGGAACACCCAGCGGTGCCGGTATTTGAAGGAAGTTTTCATAGATTTCACAAAGCGGGAAGGTTGGCGAGAGCTCAGATTTTGCTTGCCTTGCACAAATTAGTGATCCTGGTGAAGTCAGTTGGATAAAGCAAGCAGGATCTGGCCACCTTTTGTTGTAGCTGAGAACCGTGCTGGGCTAGAAATTCAAAGCAAGGCTGCAGAACTGCTAAAGGTGTAGCGTAGAGAAATAGTTTGGAAAAAAAACAGGGTACCAGCATTTTCATGCAGCAGTTATAATTGTCTTGACATACATCAAATGTTTAGGGTAATTTTGAGAATTGGATGCCTTTTTTGTGCTGCTGAAGGAAGGAGACTGAGAACATCTCAAAGCAATGCATCCTTGTCCATCCCAGCGTCCGGCTCATGTGTGCTCACAGTGTTCATTTCAATCTTTTAAGTACTGTGCTCGAGTGTAGTATTTGTGTTACCTTTAACAGGACTGAGTGTTTTATGGTTATAAAAAGACTATATTTATTTAAAGCATTGCTTTTATTTTGAAAAGCTACTTTTTAAATTAATTTGATTAACAAATATGCTAATTTTCTGAACTTAACAAAAAGTAATTGCTGAAAGTTTGACCATTGGAGAATCTTATATAGCTGCTGTGTTAAGTTATTTTTGATTTCTTAATAACACTATTATGTTCGTGTTGCACATTACTGAGAGAGTAAAGCTATGAAACAAATTTGAGCCATGTTTTTAAAGTGATTTAACCCAAAAGATAACCAGTGAGACTTGGGCAAAAGTGTGTTAGAGTTTCGGTAAGTTGCTTGTGAGAAGGTTCTGCTCTAAAAGGAACTGTATTATTGAAAAGGTCAGATGCCTTAAATGCAATTTCAGTAAACTTGCCATACTTGTTAAGATCCGGTCCTAAATCCTCTGTTTATCTCTCCGTTAGGTTATCGGTGCATATTTATTCTTTGTTGAGGTGGAGGAGAGTGACCTTTGTGTTACAGGCAAGACGTAAAGCCCAGAGCGATGTTTTGAGTGTGCATGGTCACATTTTGCCCTCCTAGGTTACCTTCTTTAGTTCATCATGGGTTATGTTTAAATGAAAACAGCTAGTGAGGATGGAAATTGTTAACCTAACACCACCAGCTGTGAATCACACAGCCTTCAGAAACCGTCCCTCTCGGAATGGAGAGGTTGCATCAGAAAGGGTGAGTGGCTTGCCTCTTACAGTTGCATTTAAGCATAGAAATAGCTTGATTTTACTCATTTTAAAAGGTTATCCTTATGTCTGCCCAGAAACTGCTAGGCAGAGTGCCTGTCAGTTTTTCTTCCCTCTCTGATGCTATAAACAAAAAGACAGACAATTTTATAGAGAGGAGCTTACTTTATGTGCTGAAATTGTGAGGCACTACCACATAGCGCACTCTCTGTACATTTTTGCAGAATGAGAAGATCGTGGCTGGACAGAAATCCCATACTGTGCAGGCATGCACCTTTCATGCCATGTTTAGTATCATATCATGTCCTATGCCAAGCTCATGGTGCGTGGCTTTCCGTGCAGAAATACAGAGAAGAGAACTCCTCATACCCGCTGGAGAACCCAGAGCGGCTGGGAACGCTCCTAATGCTGGCGCCTGCGACCCACGGCCGGAGCAGCCTCCGCACTCCCTCCTGCACTGCGAGAGGACCTGCGGCCCACGTGCCTCTCGACTTCATCCATTCCCATTTCAAAATTGCTGGAGTGGATGCTGAAGTGGCAGTCAGCATAATAAAATCCAGCCTTGCAAGAGGGCACATGGAAAAATCAGTCAGTATTGCCAGCAACAACACGTTGGGGACTGCTCGCCTTTTTGGGGAGGGGTTCTTGACATGCTTGATATCTTGCAGTTGCACAGCAACCTGCTCTCAGCTCCATGCTGGTACACTTTGTCTGCTCTCCCATCTGAATGGGCAGGTATAGATATAATATCTACAGCAATTTATTGCTGGGAAGTGATGGCAAGAAAGGGTTACAAGTATTTGCAGTTGTCTTCAGTGCGTTTTAGCAACTAGAAGTCAGAGGAGCACTCTCAGCAGATTGGAGTGCAGAGATCTCTACTGGAGGGAGCAGAGGAGTGAAACTATCTGGGTTCTTGTTCCAGCTCTGCCACCAATTCCTAAATCTCTGCGATATTTATTTTCTCCTTTATTTATTTTCTCATCTGTAAAATAAGACTAATTATTTTTTCCTCCCCAGACATGGCTTAAGTTACAAATTTCTGAAATCCTTTGAGTGCACTGGTGCTTTCCTGAGAACATCCAGGGACTTCGTTCAGGCTGTCCTGTAACACGCGTATCTGTCAAGTCCTCCACCGCTGGTAAGCGCAGGTGAGCCAGCGTGTGTGAGGAGGGCTGAGCCTGTGACTTGCCTGTCTCCTCGGGTTTCTGCCGCTGCTGACGAGGATGTTGTCCATGTGCTTGTGTATCTGACCCCTATTAAATTGCACCTTTGGTTAAGTGTGGTGGAGGGGCAGCTGTCCCAAAGATGTTCAGGAGCTGCAGATTTCCTGAGACAGGATGGGGCAGGTGGCTGAGAGAGAGAGACCCTGGCAGCACATTCACTGGGCTGAGGCTGCAGTGGGACCTCCACCTATATTAGACACCTGGTCCTACGGGGAAGAGGGGCGATGCAAAGGTTTTCCTTGGATTTTGCATCTTATGTATATGAAGGAATCTGGCCATGAGGCATGGGAAAAGTGGCTGAATTAGTCCAGCTGTTTGCAGACGTGACTATTCTTAAATCAGTAGGGATTTTTTTTAGCAAATTTCATGCACTGGCTTGACCAGTGGGACTGACCTCTTCCTCCTCATGCTCCTAAGCTTGGCATGAATTAAAGCACCACGGTGTTCTGTTTCTCTTTCATTTTTCAGTGATTTTATTCCCTGTTTTTAAAAGGATATTGCAGCTTCCCAGTGCGAACACGTATATGAGAGTTTTGCATGTTCCTCCTTCTGAGATTAATCTTCCAAAATAGATTGTTATCAGATAATTGCATGCACAGTGAGAGCTTTTCCATATAATCCATCTCTTCTGTCTATCTTTTCAAACTAAAACATTAGGTTATAGCCTCCTTGGACTTCTTCCCATTCCTATAGTAATAGACAACAGCATCCATCACACAGGGGACTAACTCATGAAGGTTCATGAAACAAAAAGATGATGGGGTTACAGGGACAATTTCTCTTCACCTCCCCCTCTGCTTGCTGTAGGATTGAGTGTGGTGGTCCTGTCTCTTGTTGCAGAAGATGTACACGTTCAATAAATATGAGATTTTCTTCTTTTAAAGTAAAGTGCTTAGTAGGGGAAAGGTAATTGTGAAGAATGAAAACATCTGGGCCTAGTGAACATATGCTTGGGAAGTGAGGAAGATTTAATGGTTTCAGGCAGAGGGTTTTACTCCAGAAATACTAACTTTGAATCTCTTGGGATACATGAGAAGTGGACACGATGGGCAGGAACAGTATTTAAGGAACAGTTATTTAAGGAATGAGCTTGATTTTTGTCTTACCTTCATCTGTAACTGGTTATGGCTTTCTGCTGGGAAGCAGCCTGCTCTGGCAAGGGCAGGTGGATGTCTGAATGTTGGAAAAAAGATCTCTTAGACATGTGTTGGGTGGATTACCCAGTGTTACGGAAATTGGGAAGCTAAGTATGGTTTTAGCCAGGGGAACCAGTGCAAAAAAACATCTTTGTGAGCTGCGCCTTCCCTTCGTCCTCTTTGAAGCCTGGTCTGCTGATGCAGTTAACTGTGGCAACATTTTCCTACCTACTGTTAGCACCAGGGAGAGAAGTGAGAAAAGAAAAAACCCAAAAAACTCTTTAACACGTTGCCTGGACTAGATTATTGCTGTTTTGTGGCTCACTAGCAAGATTGTTCTCTAAACTCCAAATGCAGGGGAAAATCCTGCCTGTGATTGTATGCAGCAGATTCATTGGAAACAGTAGGTTTGGCTGGAGAATCTTTCCTGCTGGTAGTGATTCATGAGTGAAGGGTGCTGGTAAGCAGGGGAACCCTGCCTCTCCACCTGTGATTTTACTTGAAAGCTGAGCAAATGTAAAGTGGAAATCCCTGAAATATGCTGTCTGCCCTGGAGTAGCACTGTGCTGGAGCAGCAGCACAATTCACACTCACTTTATTGAAGAAGGGGCCTATTAAAAGTAGAGCTGGTGAAAAAGAAC